TATCAATCCATTCCAAATTACTCGCTCTATTAACTTAAAAAGGTACTCAGCCAAACTGGCATATGTTCATGACGTAGTATGGAAGTATTGTGGTACTTCGTCGATAACAATTTGGGGGGGCAAAAAGATATGTTTGCACCCCCACCCTGGGAGATGGGGGGGCGCCGTGCCCCCGCTGCCCCCCCGCTTCCGCCGCCACTGGACGAAACTTTCAGTCAGTACCCTCGCCTTGATCAATTTTACACCTACCCTGAAAATTTCATGACCCTGACCCAAATGACCCTTGACCTAACTTTACGAGACCATGTTTGGCCGGAATCGCGATTCGGCGTATGTCGGCTCGCATTAGGCGCGCGTTTGCAAGCTTTTCGTGGTTTCAAACGTTCAAATATTGATGTTCATGCCGTCATGCACTAGGGTGGATGTCAAGGTCACCTGAAGGTCAGGTCAAGTCATTGACCTTTGGTGACCTCGGTTCACTTTTTCGAATTTTACATGTTGCTAGGCTAGTTTTTGGAGCTGAATTCGAATTTAGCAACGATTTCAACATTAACGAAGCAGTTTTGGTGCCTTCGTAACATGTTACGAACCTATCAGAGGCGGTTGACACGTAAGTACGTGTCGGTCGTGATGGGTATTCGTACGAATACCCATCACGACCCCTACTGGTTGACGTGACCTGACCCGACCCGACCTGGTCTAAATGCTCAAAGACATCATCTGTGATCAAAACTAACATGATATTCGTGATCAGCACCCCGAAAAACCCCATGGCAGCCACACTTTACGTCTTTCCAACAAGACCCCGGTTTTGACTTTCGGGTCATTGACCTGACCTGGAAGGTCAACCGATGATTTAGGAACTTAAAATTGGGTATCATCGACTTCCTCTCGTGACGGGCAACACGCTCGTTTTTTCCGCCAAGCTCTAACTCAATCAGGGGCCAAACGCGAGGGCAGAGGCGGATCCAGCTCAGAGTTTTTTTTTTTGGGGGGGGGGGGGGGGGCAAACCATAACAATTTATCGATTCTTTCCATGCATCGTCCATAGGCGTAATGTTAAAATTATGCCGCCCCCCCATCCCCCCTGTGCCGTCGAAGCCCGAAGGACGGATCCGAGAGTGCCCACTCCCGCACCCTGCTTCCGCCTGCCGGCGAGAGGGGCAAAACTGGGCAAAACTTACCGCTAAAACCCGCGAGACCTGTACCTTGACCTACTCACAGAAACAGGATGAACGCAATCGCATTGCCCTGTAGAACTAAGATTAGAATATAGGCATTCAGTCATGCGGTTTATTTAGCCTTGAGTCATGGGCCTACTGCTTACCTTTCCATCTGACTTGCCGTCCCATCATACCGCAGTTTTGAGCGTTTCACTTCAGACAAACGAGTCAACTTCAGTGGATCAATATTTGATCAATACACTGGTCCAGTGAATGGAACGGGATGAATTGGAACACAAGGGAAGGAAGTTCCTTCCTTAGGAACTCAACCAACCCTGCAACCTGAACGAAACCTGAACCACACGAACGAAGCGAACTTAAAGGAAATAGTTCACTTTTTAACATGGGTTTTGAACTGGAATAGCAGTTCCGTAGCCTGGGCTGAGACGAGCATAAATCAGGAGCTTTTACAGCCCAACGATCACCCTAGGCAAAGATATTCTATTTCTCGTCCCGAAAAAGGTGTCTTGCGTTGAGGATGTGTGCCTTGCATATATTTGCATCCAGTATGAAAAGAGCATGGGTACCGAAAATTCTTCAGAAACTAGAGAAATTATCTACGAGAACTCTAGAGAAATTCTCGTACTGATCAATAAGGACATTCAGCAGCAGCAGATCGCCCAAATGCCGGTGGCCGCGATAATTTCTCTAGTTTCTGAAGAATTTTCGGGACCCATGCTCTTTTCATACTGGATCGCCTGTGCCTTACAGAAACTGAAAAGTTCTTCCTATATCAAAATATAGAAAATAATCTTTTGTTATAAATAGGTTTTATTTTCTTTGCTGATCATTTTGAACATAAAAAATCATAAATCCATTGCAAAAAAAAAAATAATTTCGTGAAAGTGAACTATTTCCTTTAAAGGTAGTGTGCCAGCTTTCTTGGACCATATGGAGTTAATGACCCGGATAAGGAAAACCGGATTTTTAGAACTTATCCATACCTTCAAAACTTATGGAAACGTCTTAAATTCTTCAAATTTTGAGTACCCCAGTGCGAAATTCGCCCCGACGGGTTGTCGGTCGTACCCCAACCACATTTCACACCACTATGAACAATAAATGCACACACTAAAATCGCTATGACCGATAGGCTCATCCAATCAAGTTTCGATAAACCCGTTCATCATCATCTCCTGCGGTTTCGAACACGCCTGTTAGGTGGCTTCTGATGCTCGTCGAGGTCGGAATTTCCAAATACGCGTGGTGCGTCGGGCCGCGCGCTCTGACTTCGGCCAAGAAAAATGCGTCAGCTGATCATTGTCATTTCTGCCACTTGCGTGTAGTGTAATGGGGTCATAACTTAAGAAACGGCTGTTTCATATCAATTATTTTACATAAAATCATATTTCAAACCACAAATTAATGTTCGACAGCCAAATTTAAGAAACAATACCAATACAGGCTTACAGTTTAAGGCTCGACATTGTGTTGTCTACGATTAGACAGCTGATAACTCATTCCCGTACGTCGTATGGTCGTAACACTATAATGACCTTTGCTTATTGTCACAAGTGCGCCGCATTCGCGATTGTTGCCCGACGCCTGTTTGCAGGTGAGCCCACTACAGTTGTTATACATATCTAAAAACCGATAAACTTTTAGGCGAAAAAGGCACTATTCCAGGCCCATTTTTGATTTTTTTGCGATATTAGGTAAAAACAGAAGCTTCTTATCCTAGGAAAAATAAAACGGGAAATCTTTCAAAGGTGGCACACTACCTTTAAACTGAAATGAATGAACGCAGGTGCACGTGCGTTCCCACGAGTAGTTGCTACCAAATCATAGCTCGAGCTACCATATGAAGTTTTATGCAGTAGTAAAGGAATGCAATCGGCCTTCGTGTTATAGCAAAACGTTTATCTTGTTTTACAATAGCAAATTGCTTCAAATTGCTAAAATAAATGCTATAAAACATTGCTGAAAGCGCATCTACTATGGACGTCAAACCCCTTGAGACCCCACTTTTTTGCGATAATTTTTAAATGCGTCAACTGTCGTTGACAATATTCTGGCAATGTGTGTTTCAGAACCTGCCGAAACTTTTATCACTAAGGTATGTTGATGCCAAACGATTATGAAAGGTACTTCTCATTCACTCGTAATGCTAAGGTCAAATCAGGCCCGGGCAGAGGCTTGCGCTCGGTCACACTCGAGCCCCGCCACCAGTGCCATCTGCTCATCATCTACCAGCGCCCGCTACCGCTACCAGCTACCGCCCACCATCAAACCTGTATGGAGCGAGAGACGCGAGTGACCGGTCGCCGGGCAAGGAGCGCCGGAGGGGTAGGGCGGAGCTTAGCGCTGACGTCATTACGTGGCTCCGCCCCATGAGCGTGTAGCCTCTACCCAAACAGCAGATTCGTTCCGTAAAATTTAACATTACGAGTGTATGAGAAGCCTACCTTTCATAATCGTTTGGCGTCAAAATACTTTAGCAATAAAAGTTTCAGCAGGTTCTGAAACACACATTGCCAGAATATTGTCAACGAGAGTTGACGCATTTAAAAAATTATCGCAAAAAAGTGGGGTCTCAAGGGGTTTGACGTCCATAGTAGGATCCAAATACAAACAAGACGTCCAAATGGCTGGTCAATCTCATAACCAGACATAGGTACCTACCTAAGTAGCAAATGAAAATAACTGTCGAACCCACAAAGTAGGTAATAGGTACAGGTAGATATAATAAAAAGCCATTCGGCCCTTTTTGTTCCAAGCTAGAAAATGGACCGATTTAAAACTATTCAGCTTAGTAGCTAATATTCTAGCAATGTCTTATAGTTCTCATTCATTCATGCGGTGCCGTTGCTGAAAGTTACCCTTGATACTTGATGCGGAAAGACCTACTGAAAAATAGGCCAGTTGAAATACATAATTCATCGTGCCTACAATCTGAATCGCGATAGGTCCACAGACCAACCATTAAGCCGTTATCAAAATGGTTGAATATGGTGGTCACCCGTGAGGAGCTTGTATCCACGGACAGATAGCGAGCTGACGAGTGCCGGACTGACGGTAAAATAAAACGAAATTTCTCTAGCTTTGCTCTCATTGCTGATTGCCATACCAGTAGATGAGAAACGTTCAAGCTTCATTCAGTGCCCGTGAAGTGTAAAGGTAACGCATCGAATGATGAATAATGAATAGTTAGATAAACGAATGATGAATAGTTAGATAAACGTACGGTTTGCATTGACGTAAATGCGGTACCCACTACCCATATATGTCGTACGGCGAATGCAATACCCATTTTATTGACACCGACCTGGCAACGTTTACCGACAGAACAGAACGGTCACTTATAGCGACAACCCTGTTCTGATTCACTTATACGTCCTATCGACAAGTCATGCTGCAGCTATGCTATATGATCACACGAATAACATTACATTACTGCTGTGTAAAGCCGATACTCATGCATCTTTTATCGACAGCGTTATCACACATATTGTATATCCACATGCGGGTATGTCAGAATTAGCAAGTCCTACCCTTTATAGCGGGCCTGCTACGAGAGAGCGTACGTCATCGACGATAGTCGTCACAGAGACGGTGTCACAGACGCAAGAAGTTCGCGAGAGCCATAAACTATATTTGTCAATTCGTCCGGTCCCCACGCCAAGGAGCTCGTATACCTACTATCGGAATTCCGAATCGTCACAGCGACCGACGGAAACAAAGCACATATGACACAGGTAATATGTAGATGGAAATCAGTGCGCTAGCGCTCATACTCATAAAAAGTATCTCAGTAAACGGTTGCACCCACTGTCGCCTCTAAGCTCCGCCAGAGGAGTCCCTTTCCGGCGACGCCCGGTCGCCGTTCGCCGTTTCCAGCTCGACGGGCGCCGTCTGGGGTTTAGTGTCGAAGAAGCGCTGCTGAATCTGCTCGAGGGTGAGGCCGTGAGTCTCTGGCAGCAGGGTGGAGGCATACAGGACCTGCAGGAGACTGATTGCCGCGTGAACCAGAAACACCCCTCCCACGCTGATGGCACCGAGCAGCGGTTCATACAGCTGTAGCGAGACGAAGACCAGAAGGCCGAACCATCCCATCACCAGGCTAACGGCCAGGGAGCGCACGCTGTTCGGCAGCAGCTCGCCCAGGTAGTTGAATGTGATGGCGGTGAGCAGCGTGCTGTAGGGCAGCAGACAGACCAGCGCGCCGCCCAGCGCCAGCCAGCCGCTGGCCGCGTGTTCAGCGCCCAGCAGGTCCCCAGCGGCGATGGTGGCGCAGCCGACGGCGCTGAGCGCCCCAGAGGCGCGCAGCAGCGGCAGCCGGCCGGCGCGGCGCAGCAGCGGGCTGGCCGGCGGCGTCCCCAGCAGCGCCACGGCCGGCACCAGCATAGCGCGCTGGTAGTCGTCCAGCGGCAGCGGCAGGCCGCCGACCACCAGCGCCGTCACCACCACCAGGAAAAAGCCGCCCGTCCACACGAAGAAGAAGAACTGGCCGGCGGTGAGCAGCAGCGGCCGCAGCGCGCTCCGGCGGCACAGCGCCCGCCACGTGCGGCCCAGCGGCGCGCCCGCCTCCTCCACAGAGGCTCGGATGTTGTCGATCTCACTGGAGGTGTCAAATTCTCGCCCACGGTAGAAATCCAGCGCGTCGGCGGCCAGCTTCTCGTCTCGGCCGCGGGCCATCAACCACTGTGCGGTGTCGGGCAATAGTAGCAGGCCGAGCGCGCCCAGCGCGGCCGGCGCGCAGGTGCAGACCAGCTGCTGCAGCGGCCAGCGCCAGACCGAGGCCAGTGCCAGGCCCACCAGCTGACCCACGAACAGCAGCAGCCCCACAGCTGTGGAGAGTACCGCGCGCTGCGCCGGCGCCGCTACTTCAGCCACATAGGCGCGCGCCTGGCCGTCACCGGCTCCCAGGGCGGTGTTGACCAGCAGCCGGCCGGCCACCGTCCAGCCGAACGCTCCGTCCCCGCAGTAGATGGCCACCGAGCCGGCGGCGGCCAGTGGCATCAGCAGCAGGAGCAGGCGGCGCGCGCCCATCGGCGGAGCCAGCGCGGCGGCCAGCACACAGCCCAGCAGCGCGCCGGCGAAAGTCACAGAGATGGCCCAGTTGCGCTGTGTGACTGTGAGATGGCCGGCCGGGCCCGCCTCCTGGATCAGCAACGCGCTGTTGAGCGCCACGTTAGCGCCGAGCATGAACTGGGTCTGGCCGCAGATGGCCGTGGCCAGCACCTGAAACAGTTGACAGAGGCATGTGAGGTGTCGGTACATACAGCTGAAGAGAATCCAGGGACGGGGCTTTAGATACAGGTCATTATATCGAGCAAGAGCGGTGACGGTGTTATCGGCCTCGTTTTCCCGGAATGCTGAAAGGAAGGATCGGTTCCGTTCCATGATAGGTACTCGAAGTAAAAACGTCCTACCAGCACTTAATAAACATGAACATGCATATCTAAATATGACTGCAGAATAAACATATGCCACACTCATGCACCATATCACACATTCGACGTCCAGTAGGTACCGGTCTTTATCACGTTTTACCCCGAGCGATACCGATAGAATAACAATGAAATTCCCTAACGACGCATTGCAACACGTAAATACGAGTCACAACAGAATGCAGGGCTGCCGAGTGCCGGCTGACATGGGCATCCAAGCAACAACGTATAGCTGAACGAGCTGAGTACGAGCGATATGCTGCACGATTGATAAACAGGGCGTTCGGAATTCATGCTGAGTAGGTAGGAGCCTCGTTAATGGAAGAGGTGTTCTTTTTTTTATGAGCGCATTGCTGCTTAGACACGCGATGATATGCCGTCGTCTGAGGCTCAAAAGACAGAACTAATGCTTCCTGAGAGCGAGTAAGCTATCAGCGGCCTATGCACGTCGAATGAGACACATTGCATCAAAAAAGGTAGCACCGCACTCACGGTAGGATACCTACCGTGAATAGCAAGTAAACGTTAAAAGCGGTGTGCGAGTAAATGTTTACCTGTTTGAGCGCTCCTGACGAATGCATGTCGCCAGTCAAGTAGTTTCAGGGCAGAACACGGCTGGTTCCACTAGCACGACCAGACCACAGGTGACCAGTGGCCGATGACCATAGCACTTTCACTCACACGGTCGTGCTAGTCATCTCCGCCCCCTTCCTCCCCCTCTCTCTCTTTGGCCACCGATTCAACACGGACTATCGATGCCAAACCCCGAGCACCCCAGGAGGCTAGTCCGGAGCTCCCTTCCAGCACACTGATCCGGAGACACTGGTCCACACACCGATCCGTCAGTGCCCGCCCGAGTCGGTCTCACCTTGCACACTCTTCGTAAACAAGCGAGACCGGTCTGGGCCGTACGGAGAAGGGATAGCGAAGTTCCGACCCGGGGGTTTCCCCCTAATTTTGCTAGTCACACTGAGTTGTGTGGTTGCAGAACGGAACAAAGTGGGTCGTGAGTCGTGATCTTGTGAAACGTCCGACGGTAAGCATGCACGTCTTGGATTTCATTGTGACGCCAAGCTCGGGCACACAAGCCACACAAAACACCCTACCTTCTTTGCATCGGTTGTCGTCAACAAGGATCATCAAAGTCGCCTTATCCGCAGGGGACAAGCCGTCCCATCATTTACGAGACCACCCTACTTTGCACCGTGCAAGCTCCTCCAACTTCCGATCGCAATACGCACTGCGCATCTCATTTATAAGATTCCTTTCATACCATCCACTTATCATTTCATCTCTCTCCCGACTGGACAAACAGCCCACCGTTGAGCCTAACCGGCCTTCAATACCAGCTCTCCTTCAGTGTCGCCTGCCGAGACATCCCTTCCCCGTACCCTACTATCCGACAGTGTAGTCAATGGGGCGGGCGGCCGGCGGCACGCGGCCCCGGTAATAAACTGCCGGATAGACCCTGATAGACGACGCGCAGCACGTAAACAAGGCCTGGTTCGGGAGGGTAGAAACAACCAACGAGAGTGGAGATGGGGGCGCTGGGTGGAAACGACAAAGGGCAAGAGTGTTACGATCTACGATATGATTTCAACAACTGCCGTCAGACATTGTCACATTACAATTGCAGCTTCCTTTTTTTCAACGCCGACTTCCGATGACGGTGTGGCAAGAAAAGACGGAATACGAAGGCTTTGTGCGCCAATTTATTATGTCAGCTGATGTGATAACAGTACCTTCCCAATTTGCACATGACGACTGTGATATTGTGTAGCTAAAAACGGGCTAGGAGGTCGGCCATCACCAATACAAAAGATGTTCTACTTCCGAATACAAAATCACTGACGATCGCGGTAAATCAAAACAGTTGATGAAGATGGTTAGTTGAAACAAAAAGCACAACAAGGGCATGCGTTAAGTGTAAAACACCGCAACGACTCACTGGTCGAGTACCAAAACACCGACCAGTCACGGTTTTATGGCCTGTTGGCACCGGCGATTCTTTCAGTTCAATTGATCCGGAGCCATCACAAAGTTCGACTAGCACCTAGAACACTCATCGCTTCTCGCGCGCACACACAGACACACATACGGGCGCTCGGCACATCGGCTCAACCAGCACAACCTGTTAGCGATCATCCCTCACCTCCCTCAATCCCCACAGGCTCAGCCAGTCCCCGCCGAATCACACACCTCTGACTTTGGCTGCCCAATCCGTCGAGCTCTCCCAAAAGCGCACCCCTCACTCCCGACACCAAACTTCATCCAGCTCCCGGCCACACTGCTCTGGCACCTCCCATTAGCTACCGCCTTTCCTACTAGTGGCTCACGGCACCACACCACCACCCCTCACCCTGCTTCCAATTCGGGAATCAGGCAGCAGGGATCCACCTGCCCGAAGACCGGCGCCCTTCTGGCTCTTAATTCTAGTGATCGTCCGGCTCAAACACTGGGTGGTACCGGTCTGAAAACTGGGTGGTCCATGGGTTCAAAATCAGAGATCTCGACTTGACCATTTGATCTACGGGTCTACCCTTCACCTCCTATACCGACCTCATCATTGAATCACCACCTCTCTCCCCTCCCCACAGCCCTCTACCGCTGTGGCCGTCATCACACCTCATCCAGCTCTGCCGTGGGCACACAGCGGTGCTCCACGGGCCGGAGAGCGGCGCCCTCGCCCTCCACCGCCGCGCCCGGCCGCAGAGCCACCGTGCTGAACTTGAGCGGCATGTCGGTGGCCTCGAGAGACACGGTGACGGGGGTGAAGAGCTCGATGATCTGGTCGACGGCCGGCTCGGTGTCCGTGGCCCGCCAGGTGAGCTTCAGACGCGGCACACCCGTCTGCTTGGTGAACTCAACCGACTCCACCTCCAGCTTCTGCGGGACGGAGAGCGGAGGGGGAGGTCAGATCGGACAGCCGGGCGAGTCAGACCGATCGATGCAGTCGTTTGAATGACAGCAAGTGAGGCGAAATAGCTTAAGAACAAGAGCCCACTCAAATCACAGTCCGACCCGCTCAGAAGAGGGGCCGGACCACTAGGACTAGGAGCGAAGAGGCTCCTCTAATATCCTGCCGTGAGTTTAGTATACGCAGCTAGACAAAGGCACCACGAAACATACCGTCCCAAGTGTGGCACACACTTTTGGCAGTTTAACCGATCTTTTAATAACACGCCAATAAACCGCTATCAAATATCCCATTCCCTGAGCAAAAGCTCACACGTCATCCACAGCAATCGCCGTGCCCCAACAGCTCACATCGATATACACCCGGCGCGAGATGGCCATCTCCGGTATGAACACATCGAAGCTCTTATCGAGCACGCCCATCACGATAGCGGGCTGCCGGATCGGGCCGCACAGGTCCACCATGTGAGCCAGGAAGAGCAGCGAGCACGCCTCCGAGCACAGCCGCGCAGACAGCTTCTTCTCGTTACAGCGCACGCACAGTCTGTGGAGGTGCCGGCGAGTGAGTTAATGAGAGAGCGGTATGAACAAACGGATTGTAAAATACTACAAACTTCGAATAAAAAGTGCAGTGAAGACAAGTTGTTTCCCTGTGTGTTTGCCCTGTGTTTCAAATGTAAACGAGAAGATACCTGATTTGAATAAAATAAAAAGTTTGATAACTTAACTAGAAACAAGCATTTAATTCTACTTAGCCCTCAGAATTCGTCTTCTCTAGCGCATTTAGCACAACATCTTACAAAAGATACAACGCACTTCACAATAACATCTGTCATGAAACTGGCAGCCAGCAGTCTCCCTTCTCCACTGAAACCCTTTCCCTGTGATAGCAATACCCACCTCTGCACGATAATGGGCGGCAGCTGCTCCAGCGGCTCGTACTGCAGGGCGGCCGCCAGCAGTCGGTGGACCAGTACGTCCGGGTAGCGGCGGATCGGAGACGTGAAGTGGGTGTACAGCGGCACGCTGAGAGCGTAGTGCCGGTACTGGGCCGCCTCCGTCAGAACGCCAGAGCAGAAATACTCGGCCGGCTGGAGATGGAGGGGAGAGTCAGAGAGTGAGAGCGGCTTAGGAGACTAGAACATCCTTTGTTCTCTAGTAAGCACGAGGAAGTGGAAACCCCAGGAACGCGGAGAAACAGCGTCTTACTACCAGAATGCACGATTGGTCCCATAAAAAGAAAGTTACAAACTGCGTAACTGAAATAGACCAATTGGTATGCCAACAAATAATCATACATAATACGCCCGCGGCAAATAACCATAAAAATACACGATAAAAACGCTAGATTTACTGCAGCATTCGATCCTCACTGACCCCCCCCCCCCAGAATATCATCAAAAGCATCTCCTCCCACCACTCTCACCCCTTCCATGCGGCGACTCGCGACTCACGTTCATGGGCCGACTGAGCAGGTTGACGACCACAGCCATGCGCGCGATGGCCTCCTGGGGCGGCAGCTCGGCCTGCCAGGCGGCGGCCATCGCCTGTAGCGAGTCGTGCACCGTGCCGCTCGTCTCCACGTCAATCTGCGGGGTGGATGGGATAGTCAGTATAAAGGGTTCGGAGAGCGAGAAGGGTGTGAATGGAGGG